AGCGCCAGAAATGCAGCTGAGGCCGGGAACTCAGGAGACCCCCTTCACTCAGTAGCCCTCTTTTCGGCAAACCGTGAAGACCTCTCGGGGGAGCCAATAAGTGTGCGTCTGCCAGGAGTTTCCACGAGTACCGCCCCGGTTAGGAATGAGGGTAAGAAAGGATCCAGCGTAGGGGTTACAACGCCGAGCACAAGTGCCCGAGGCCAGGGCCGAACACAGGGCAGCGCGCCCTCCCCTACCAACTCGACGGAAGGTGACCAAGTGCCGCCGAGGGGCCCTCTTCGGCCCAGTGACCAAATGCCACCTCGAGGCAAAACTTCCTCGGTTTTATTAGAAGAAGTGGAAGACGAAGAAGCTCACCTTCGATCCGACATTCCGATCACGACCCCGAAGAAGGCACCCTCGATAACGCCATCTCTCACCGCGACCCCCAACGACAAGAAGGTCATCGCGGAGATGTACTATGAACCCCACGGTATCCTTTGGACCCGTAGGGCCTTACGCATCACAAGAGGGGATTCGGCCATGCGAGTGGTCCTCAATGGGTGGATACATCCCCGACGAAGGGGAGAGGTCACAGACCAGTTATGTCACAAACTGGAAGAGCAGATGGAGACGGCGGCGCAAGCGAGGGAGAAGTGGCAATGGATGGAGGATTTACAGAAGCCTCCGATGTACATACGAGGAAGGAAGGGGCGGAACGTCTCAATAAACGTGCAGTTGGAAATGCTCGACACACGGGAAGTTCATGCAGTAAGTGCCTTAGTGGATAGCGGAGCCACAGGGAGCTCCATTGACCGAGCCTGGGCCCAGACACATGGACTCAACCTTAAACGGGCCGCTCGTCCCGTACCCATCTACAATGCCGATGGCACCAGGAACAAAGGGGGGGACATCACGGAGTATGCCGAGGTGAGGTTACGTATTGGGGATCACGTGGAACGGATCGAGCTGGCCGTAGTTGATCTAGGCTCGACCCCTCTATTTTTAGGGCATGACTGGCTTCAACGTCATAACCCTTTAATAGACTGGACCACCGGAGCGGTCACGTTGGCACGTTGTGCCTGTCGGAAAATCCCGTTCTCATTACCCGACACCGATCCATCGGCGCGATGGGAAGAATATGAGGAAGGGGACACTATCCTAGTAATTGACTTCGAAGAAGCTTTCCACATCCGAGCCATGGGGACCAAAGCCAACGAACTGGCTGCCCAGGCTAACGCAAAAAAGATGGCCAAGTCGTTCAAAGAAATCGTGCCAGAGGAATATCGTGAATTTAAGGATGTATTCAACAAGGAGAATTTTGATGAGCTACCCCCGCGAAAACCCTGGGATCACGCCATTGAATTAATCCCAAACGCTAACGCCAACTTAGACTGCAAGGTCTACCCCCTTAACCCGACGGAACAGGAGGAACTCGACAAGTTTCTGGATGAGAACTTATCGACGGGCCATATTCAGGCCTCCAAATCCCCGATGGCCTCTCCGTTTTTCTTTGTAAAGAAGAAGGATGGGAAGCTGCGCCCCGTACAGGACTACCGAAAGCTAAACGAGATGACCGTCAAAAATCGTTATCCGTTACCGCTTATCGGAGAACTAATGGACCGGCTGAAGAAGGCCAAATACTTCACCAAGTTAGACGTATGGTGGGGCTATAACAATGTCAGGATCAAGCAAGGGGATGAGTGGAAGGCAGCGTTTCGGACCAACCGCGGGCTTTACGAACCTCTGGTAATGTTCTTCGGACTCACCAATTCCCCGGCTACCTTCCAATGGATGATGAATGACATCTTCAAAGACCTCATCACTGCAGGAGAGGTATCCGTGTATTTGGACGACATTCTCATCGCTTCCAAGACCAAGGCAGAGCATAGGCGCATCGTGCGGAAGGTGCTCCAGATCCTACGCGAAAACCACCTATTCCTCAAAGCGGAAAAGTGTGAGTTCGAAGTGGAGGAAATGGAGTACCTGGGGGTAATCATCAGCGAAGGGAAATTGCGCATGGATCCAGTAAAAATTGCGGGGCTGTTGGACTGGCCGGTACCCTGGAAAAAGCAGGAACTTCAGTCGTTCCTAGGGTTCTGCAACTTTTATCGACGGTTTATTCGGGACTACAGCAAGCACGTTAAGCCATTGACACTTCTCACAGGAAAGCAGGAGTGGAAGTGGGGGGAGGCCCAACAGATGGCCTTTGAAAAGCTTAAAGCGTTATTCCACGAAGACGTAGTACTCGCCATTCCCTTGGATGAAGGAAGGTTCCGCATGGAAGCAGACTCTAGCGAGGGCGCCGTAGGGGCGGTACTATCCCAATGGCAAGAGGAGAAGTGGCGACCTGTGGCCTTCCTCTCCAAGTCGTTATCAGTGACGGAGCGGAACTATGAAATCTATGACAAGGAACTTCTTGCCATAATGATCGCCCTGGAGGAATGGCGCCAGTACCTTATGGGCGCCAAAGAGGATTTCGAGATCTGGACAGACCACTCCAACCTCCAATACTTCCGCAAACCTCAAAAACTCAACCGACGACAAGCGCGTTGGGTGACTGAACTAGCGGAATACCAATTCACCTTGCATCACAAACCTGGAGCCCAAAACCGTAAAGCCGACCTCTTATCGCGAAGAGCGGATCACGACCAGGGGAAGGAGGACAATCGGGACGTCATTATACTCAAGGCGGAACATTTCAGGGCCTTGACCATGCCCACCGCCAAAGAGCTGCACAAGTGAATCAAAGTAGCCACACACGACCCTTGTCGTTGGGACAAAGGGATATCCAACTCCCTGAACCATGAGAAAGGAGTCTCTCACGACCAAGACCTGTTGTGGTATGACGGGCGTATCTATGTACCGATAGACCGCGGCCTTCGCGGACAGATCATAGCTCTTAAGCATGATCACGTCACCGCCGGACACCCTGGCATCGAGAAGACCAAAGAATTGGTGCTTCGAGACTACTGGTGGCCACGGATGCGCCGAGACATAGAGGCCTACGTCAAGGGATGTGAGGTCTGTCAATGAACCAAGGCGGACCGTCGCCCCAGGAGGGCTCCCTTACACCCGAATGAAATTCCAACCCGACCTTGGACCCACATTTCGGTCGACATGATCACCAAACTCCTGAACTCCAAAGGATTTGACTCTATCCTCGTCATCGTAGACCGTTTCTCCAAAGCCATCATTCCCATCGCCTGTACCGAAGAGCTAACCTCCTTGGGGTTCGCCAAGATCCTAAGGGATTACGTTTATGTGCCCTATGGCGTAATGCCCGAGAAGGTCATCTCTGATTGAGGATCGGTATTCGTTTCCAAATTCATGAAGGAATTTTATCGACTCCTCCACGTTGAAGGGAACCCCTCTACTGCCTATCATCCCCAAACAGACGGACAGACTGAGAGAGTCAACCAGGAGATCGAGAAATACTTGAAGATGTTCGTCAATGACAGGCAGGACGATTGGAGCGAATGGCTGCCACTGGCCGCATTCACGCACAACAACCGGCAACATTCAGCAACAGGGTATTCTCCCTACAAGGTCATATTCGGAAGGGACGGTGAAGTCATAAAGAAGCCTCAAAGGACGGCCACCATCCCTGCGGCGGGGAAATTGATAGAGGAGATAGAAAAAGCACAAAAAGAGACGAAGGCTTCGCTAGAGAAGGCAGCCGAGTCGATGAAGAAGGCCTATGACAAGCACAAGGGAGTGGCGGTTGAGTACCAAATTGGCGATAAAGTGTGGCTCGACACCACCAATCTTCGCCTCCCACGACCTACGTCAAAGCTGGGAGATCGACGTGTGGGCCCCTTTGCTATTATGGCAAAGAAAGGAGCGTCGGCCTACGAGCTAAAGCTACCAACGAGATGGAGGATTCACAATCGCTTCAACGAATCACTCCTAACCCCATACGTAGTGCCGGCGTTCCCAAATCAACCACATCCTGAAAGGCCGCCCCCAGAGTTAATTGACGATGAAGAAGAGTACGAGATCGAGGAAATAGTGGAGCAGCGAGACAAAATCGTCGGACGTGGTCGGAATCGTCGCACCATCACCGAGTACCTTGTCAAGTGGAGAGGCTACCCCAGAGAAGAGAATTCCTGGGTGAAACGTTCCGATATGGCTAACGCAGAGGAACTAGTTGACGAGTACGAGGCCCGTATCCAGAGGATTCAGTGGGAGATCAATAAACATGGAAGGGCGGTCGGAACAAATAACAAAATACCACCCGATGCCGTGACGGCATATCATCGACTGGACACCCCTTGCGTCATGGACGTCCAGACTGTTTACTCCTCCGAATGTACGAATCCCAGACACTCGGATACTCAACAGGACTCTAATTCCCCTTCCTCATATTCGATGGACCTACTGGAAGTCACCTCAAATGAAGCGGACGGAATCCCCACGATAGAAGTCAATGAAGAAGAAAATGACACAGACAGTGAACTCGAATTACAAAATCTCCAACGCGTTTATGAAAACTGGGATTTCAATAGTGACAACGACAACGAGGAGGATGACCCATTGTCCTTCTACAGCGACTCCGCTTCAGCGACGGACGAGACGAATAATGACTCATTCGGGACGAACGAGTCTTAGGGAGGGGGTAATGTTACGGTTTATTCATTTCTTTCTTTTCTTCTCCTTTTCTTACGCGTTCTTGCTTACTCTATGATGCGATTACCATCGGACGGGTCTCACAGTACTATTTTTAGGTTAGTCATCGTGTATTTAAGCAATGCCTCAGCTGGCCTAAACTCCAGCTTCGGCTAAGGTTTAATCTACCTAACATCGAACTCCGTGTTTTGCAACTATCTAAGTTCGCTCCTGACTCCATTCATTGCCTTTGACCTCCAAGTGTATCGTCTACCGAAGTGCGAGTAGCGATCCTTGGTTGATCTAAGTCGATAAGAGTTAGTGGCTAACAGGTCATCCGAGATCACAGCCTCAGTGAATATCAGTGATAAAACATCATCAGGAACCTACCCTGTTGTTAGCACACAAGCATGAACCTCCAATGCCAGAACCTGCTCATGTCGATAATGGTTGTGCTATTGAGGATGGGTCCCGACTTGTTAGCATTGGCACATTGTTGTTCAATCTCCACTACACCGACTGGTTCTATCATAGCAGCCATCTGCTGGGATGAATGTCTGATGTGGAGAGGTTGTGCTGTTCAGGAAGGGGGTGATCCAAACATGGAGCTCAGTGAAATTGGTGTCGTGGTTCCTGGTGACACACCTAGATTCTTCTGCAGCACCAGTCCCCTCACGAGTCAGATCTATGATAGGCATATTCCAAAAGAGAGTACCTGATCGAATTGGCTCTCAAATGCTTGATAATTGCTGATGCTATCAAACTTGTATTTTTTGTTCAGACATCATCTGCTAGCCCTTCAAATCCAACGATGAAATACGTGCTAGAGGTGCCCTCGTCTAGTTGTGACTTTTCCAACTTGACCAACATGTACAACGATGGTATTTTGGGGGTTCTTGGGGACAGAACCAATGTATACAATGACAGTAATGGTGCAGCCCCAACTGACACGTTCTGTTCAGTCAGCAATGTTCACTCGTTGCAGATCCATCATCAAAATCTCCATGGGAACAGCCACCACAGGCAGACGAATGAGCCACATGAATAGTGCGTATCCACGCTCATGCTGCTGGTATGTCTCCGTTCCTTCCTCCAACCATCATTCATGAGTATCCAGCACGTATCGTGGAAGCATCACAGGAGGCCAAGCAACACCCACCTGGCAAGCTATTTGATTGGGTTCCAACAGTACGATGGCAGCCCCATGTGCATGCTGATGACAGAAGTACCTCCCCATTGGTGATCACAGAGGGGAGGGGCCCACAATATAGGATCAACAGTCAGACGGCAATATGAACGGCAACCAGATCTGAATCGCTTGTACGTACACCCCCACCTAAGAGATGGCAGAACTGAACAGCCTGCAGCCTCAGGACCCTTGATACAGTACAGCCTGCATGCCAGTCCATGTGTCAGCCCCTGCCTCCAAACCTCTCTCAACGGCCAAGGTTATTTCACTGTTGGATATGCTGGCACCCACTCTGAGTCGTCTCCAATAATCACCCAAAATAGTCACTGTGAACAGCCCATAATCCTAGACTGCAGGAACATTCATTAAGCATGTCGGCCGGAGGGATGGTTACACTAACCTGGACAGAGACGTCATGGGAACATTTTGACAGGACAGAGGTACAGATAGCCATCAAAAAGTAATATCACAATTAAACCAAACAGGTAACTGATGTATTTGATACTGGCTGACATCAACATCTGGCCTGGATCAGGGCGGAGATGCAGGGACAGAGAAAGTGGAGCAACGACGCATCAATGTGGTTTGGACCAAAAAGGTGGGCAAGGTCAGAAGGAGGGTTTTACTGTCAGGCATGAAAGCGAACAGGGTTTTTGCAGGCACTTGTATTGCATGCAGCCAATGAGTGTCCAGTATAGTTGACGTGTTCATGTTGTAACGTTGGTTAACAATGTGTTCTCATTTTGCTGAAATAGCCACATTTGCAATATCTTGAAGGGAAATCTACCAGTTACTGTTGATGAGTCATGCCAAAGATGGGCCGACAATGTCATGCCCATCTCCTTCTCCACAACAAGTCTGTTCAATGGGGCGGCATGGCCAAGTTGTAGATTGAGATAGAGGTTCCGAAGGAACATTATGACATTAGGAACTCCAGAAAAAGGTCAGGTGCCACTGGCCTAAACTGGCTGGGTTCCAATGGAATGGTCCACAGAAGGAGCTCTCCCAAAGTCCAAATGCAATCAAATGCCAGAAATCATTTCTTTCTGCCATCATGGTCCACAATTCTTCCAGTTCTCATCTGTTTGACCCTCCTGTCATCTATGCCTTTGTCACCTCTTTCCTACTCCATAGGAACTCCTGTACATGAGAGTGTCAGCGATGAGATGGACCCCATGGGAGTTGCAATCCAGGCGCTGGTCCAGGTGAATCTCGCACTCTAACACTGTTTTTTGTCAAAACCAATTTGCTCGCAGGCCAATCACGATCTCGTACTCCATTTGCATCAGCTCGAGTCTTCTCACAATGATCTCCAGAAACGTGCCAGCATCACAGAGGCAGCACATCAACAATTGGTTCATCCCGCGCTGATGTGCTTGGTAACGGGCAGCATACAAATGAAACAAGCATCTAGATCATCAATCTAGATACTAAATCACACACACACACACACACTATCACCAATGTATATAAGTTCGAGGATGAGTACGATAGAAGCACTCTCGATGTACTTAGATTTAGACAATCTAGTGGGGTTTTGTCTGAAAACAACTTCAATTCTTCTTTCGATGTGTTTTACACAAAGTACACTAGTCCACGATAGCGGGGTTTTATGAACTGGTTTTGCAAGGTATAGTTGAGCAAGTTATACTTGTTTTGACATCGTCTAGAAGAGCTTCTAGCGGACACTTCAAATAATCAAACAACCAAAGACTCCAAGGTCTACAAAGAGTGCAAAATCACTCTACAAAGAACACTCAGGTTCTGACTTCAAGTACAAGACTTGCAAAGAGTACACAGACTCTGGAGTTCCTTGAACTCGATGATTGTTTGAACTTAAAGTGTTCTAGGGCTTATTTTACTTCAACTAGATGAGGTCTTTTGACTTAAAGTCGACTCAGCACATCTAGATCGCTAATCTCGGAGAGAGAGAGCATGAGGCCTTTGTCCGTGGAGCAGTTCAATTAACTAGCAAGGCGCAAATGTGGGGACGGCTCTACTTCCTACTTAACTCTTCTAGATTACTGTAGTCGCCCTTATGGGTTGACTTTGGTAACTTAATTCACTTCAGTCGAGGATATGCAATAAAACCAGTGATTGATTAGGTAGCTATACAGGCTACTAGCACAAATGCGGGGGAATGCTTTCCTGCCTTTATGCATCTAGTTGCTGCTAATTTATATGATTCATGTTCTAGGTATAGGAGCCCATATCTACAGTAATTATGGTATGAGCTTTGGAATTAATACAAATGGTGAGTCACTATCCTACAAGTATTGCGCCATTCCATAGTTTCTATTCAGTTCAACATGACTGCGCTGGGTTATTCTATCACCAAGGAGTGCCCTACTGGTCCGTGGGTGTTCCTTCTTCCGTCTGCAAGGCTTGCTGCACACTGTATGTATTGAATACTGCAGTCTGCACAGGATCTTGAGGATGTAACCACTGATCGCGATCGGCTGCAGGTCCAAGATTATATTCTGTTGATCACTGCACGATCAAGGTCAGTCATCTCGGTACCCAATGTGGCTATTCATTCTTCCAAGGTTATTCCTTTCCTAGCCTGAGTTGATCTCAAAAGCTGATCTGTTTCTCGACTTAGCTATTTTTCTTGACAGGTTCTTTCTACTCGTCGAGGTGACGAGGCATCTAGTTCATTCCATTCTTCAACTTCTTGGTTTTTATACTCCATATGGACGAGTCCCTGAGATTTGACTGTAATAGTCTTGTTTAGGTAGGGCTTAGCTTGGTGTGTTGACGGCTGGTAGAATTGACTCTTCGAGACGTCATTTTTAAGTCCGTTCTGTACTGCTGTGCTTTCATTCTTTATGTAGTATTTAGCTACCAGCACGAAGCCTCCACTGTAGCTCTCTGTACCACTTGTAGATTGCATAAACTGATGTAAAATCGCAAAATCTACGGGTAGCCTGATACCAGGTGTATCAGCGCCATGTTGCACATATCAAGGTTGTCCAGTGCTGAACATTGGCAGGATTCTTTACTTCAAGACCAGCTGGAATGCCCCCGCTGTCATTGTATAATGTGGAACCCATACCAGTCAGTTGGGTAGCCTTTTTGGATGTCTACTATAGCTCACTGACCTTGCGGCATGGTTGTGCAGAATGCAATGTGGTCATAACACCTGTTTTCATTGCTGCACAACCTGGTTTCAGCATCAGGATGTGGCATTTGAGAGAGAGTATCCTGGCTACATCCCCAGGGCTCCTCTATCACACCCATCCATATTTGACCATCTGGCCACTGTTTGTTATGCAGAGCTCTGGAAAATCACCCAGCTGGTATTTCTTCTCCTGCAACCACCGATGACCCATCCTCTGTATACATGTCCATGTTGCAGCAGAGAGCTTACCATTCCTCCCATTGAGAATCATCCTCTCAGGAGGGTTGTCTATACCTGGGCAGAACTTCGAGGGCTGGGCACACCACCGACCATTCTCAGGAATGACCAGGGAGTACCTCTCAACCACCAGTGGCCCTTCCTACTCTGTTACTTGCATTTCATTTCACATCCTGCATCTGACACATGCATGTAATTCCCTTCAACCAATTCGACATTGGCCTTGAGTATTACTGTAGGGATGCCTCTGTCTTAGCGATGAGATGACTGTGGCATTCTGTCCTGGAAGACTGCTTACATGAGGCACTTCTAATACTAGGGATGGTGGAAGGTTGTGCAGGAAATAGCGAAATACAATCTGTAATAGATATGCCAATAGCATGCCCTTTATCTCCACCTTGGCCCTGCACCTGGTGCTATACTACTTAAATTCGCAGCCTCATATTGAAGTACTTTTCTAGTTCACTGTCCCCCAACATGCACTTCTTAACATCTGTCTTTGGTCATCATCCAATGCCTCTGATTGGCCAGCCCAGCCCCTCAGAGCATCCATCTGGGGGAGATTGTAAGTACCACTGTTCTTTTTTCTGTTTTTTCTGCCCCAACACTGGATGAAAACTCGTCGCTAAAGAGGATCCGCTGACATTGTCACAGATTTTCAAGGGTCCTTGTGACCCTTGAGATTCTCTGCTCACCTGTCCCCATCGTTCTAGTGACTTTTGTGCCTGGCTGGTCCTCCCTGTCAGGCTGACTGCATCAGGCATTGAATCGAGAGAAGGAGACCATGCACTGTTATCAGGAGGACACTGATTTTCTCTGGGGCGAACTTCATTGAGTGAGTGAGTGCATCACTTCTCTCAAGTGGCATCTGATGATGCAGATCGCCTATACACGAGCAGTATGTAACCATATTCCCTTTCATAGACCATGCCCTCATTGCAGGGACTTGCAGCTCACCCATCGATGCAGGAATGCTGCTTGCTATGCAGGTCATGCAGAAGAGGAATTAAGGCATGTCAAGGAACAGTGCATCTGTGATGAAGGCATGTTTGATGCACAATGGGAGGAAAACCATGCACTGAGGTTTCGTCTGGCAAGACTGGAATTGCACGAGGTCCTGTCCAGCATTGCCAAGGATGATAATCACCAGGTACAAACATCAATAAATCGCCCAGGCTGGCTGACGATTCATCCTAGGGTCAATCATGGGAGGAGTCACTCACCTGCAAGTTCTGTTATGGTACTCTCTGCCACATGCTTGCATACGACAGTTTTTCTTTACATCCAGAACTTTTGACTTACAATGCTCTTCAGGTTACGAGAGTGCGGTCATAGCTTTTGTGCACCTTGTCTATGGGTGTGGTTCAAGAGAGAATTGTCATTGCACCCTGATGTTCTCAGGCAACCTACTTGTCCTGAATGTTGTGTGAAGGTGTTCTATCACCCAACAATAGACTATCACCTGCAAAATGTTGCTTCTCAGCTCTCTCAGGTTTTCCCTCAGAGTGATTGTGAGGGTGGTTTGGCTCACAAGTTAGGATATCGGGGGTCTACGAGCTGGGATGACTTCAATGCATGGCTCCACAAGCTGGTAGAAGATGGAGTAGAGCTGAGGTAGTGTACGGATTATCATGCAATTAGAACAAACAAGTACCGCTATGGTGGCACATTTATTACATCAACTTGACAAATTGTTAGACATTACATTGGAGCTGCTATTCTACCACAACATGATACCTGTTTCTTCACATTCATTGTGAGTAACTTAGAGGCAGCCCCTCCTCATTCTCCTCCCACATCATCAGGTCGCTGAATATACTGGGACGATTAGTTAGCAGTGTCTTGCAGCGAGGTGCCGGACCATTAAAAGGTGGTGGATGGGCCAGGACTCTTGGCAAGATTGGTACATGCCCAAAATTCATGAAGAAGCTGTCGATGTAGAAAGTAGTCGCTGTGTGTTCCATCTGCAAGAATTGTTGCTCATCATAGTGAGCTTGTTCTTCCTGAAGTCTGGAAGGGCAATTAGGCCATGAACACATGACCCAGCAGAGAGCACAGACATATGGAGCATGCTCCATCCATACCGGATTCCCCAACCCTTGGTTTGCATCCTCCATGCTCACTATCCAGGCCAAATTGACCTCAAGCTTCAGAAAGCACAGACCTAAAACATGTCTGTGAGACTGCTCTGCCTGCACTGTTCCCTCTGATCCTGCATGCAAGCGAGCATCCAAAGACATCATTTCAATGTGAAAGCCGACCTCCGACAGTTCCCATAGTATCACTTGGATGTCGTTGTCATCTAGGTCCCGATCACATTTGCCTGCCCAAGTAGGGTTCCAACAGCTCAGGGTAGCAATACTAATCTCCTCCTCACAACCTGTTAGAAACATGGATGCATGTTCATGGCGTTTGGCTTCACAATCATTCACAGCAGTGCTATCTGCTGGGATGTTGGAACTTTCCAGCAGCCAGTCAAACTGCAGAATGGTGTGCCAGGTTTGATGGGGGAGCAAAGGGGGATTGAATGGTGGTGTGAGGAGAGCAAAAACTCCAGATCGTAGATGTAACCAGCCAGACAACAAAGTCTGAAGTTTCTCCACACTTTGCACAGTCACGAAGAGTTCTGGTCGAGGAAATGCATAGCCCAAGGCAGGGACCTGGGAACATTCAGGTGCCGTGTTTGCTGCCATCAGTCCCTGGTGCCAGGCTACATGCAGAGGTGGCAAGAGGCGATGTTCAAGGATCGCCACACCTTCATGAGGTGAGCAATTTGCGGGGCGATCCTTCTTGTGCCTGTGTCCCCTCTGGTGCTCACCTAAGGGATATATTCTTCAGTACAAGCACAATGACATGGGCTAGCTGAACTCACATGGCTTATATCTCTCCGAGGATGTCTTGCTGGCATTGGGCACTGCTGGCACACTTGCAACCACTGCATGCCTTGGGCTTAGCCCAAGACTACATTTTCCTTAGTCTAGGCTAGGCTTACACTTCAAATCAAGCCTCCTAATACACATTACAATGCATAATAACATTAGCCTCATCCTAGCCTAGCCTAATTGTCCATGTTCAGACTAGCCTAGCCAATGACAGATTTAGAAAGAGATGGATTGAAGTTGATCCTAGCCTAGCCTAAACTATCCTACAAACATTAGGTAGTCAAGTAACAACAGAATGAGCCAAGCCTAGCCTATCAAGCCTTAGCTTGTCAAATAACAAGTTACTATGAACAAAACAAAAATATGTCTTATAGCCTAGCCTAGCCCAATGAAATCACACAAATACCTAGGAGGAAAGAGTAAGCCATTGAATTATGAAAGGTTGAACTAGAAAGAACTTACCTCTTATTTACCAGTATACTTGCCATCAATCAACTTGTAGTTTGCACGATTTTCACCTTTACCTGCACGAGAGCTATGCCGAGGTTCAGTAGACATCTTGGGTTGACTGTCATCAGTCTTGTCCTGAGCTGGATGGCCTCGCCTCTTGGGTGGTGGTGGAGGGGTGACCTCCCCATCTATCTTTTCAGCTGAGCGCTTTCCCCCTTGCCCAGGTTTACTCATGGCCTTGCCAGCCTTGACTCCCGCCACCTTCTCCTTCTCCTTGGCCACTTTCACTGCCTCCTCCTTCCGTTTCTTTGCTGTGGCGGCATTGGCCAGTGCTGCCTGGACCTTGGCAGTTTCATCATTTTCGTCGTCATCATCATCATCATCATCGACATCATTGTCATATTCATCGTGGTCATCATCATCAGTCACATCGATTGGTTCCACAGGACTAGCTTGGTTGGCGGTGGCTGTTGCCGAGTCTTTATCCTTGTGTGATGCCGAGCCAGAGGATTTCGAAGGCTGGTCATCTCGTTTACAGGTTTTTGGATCAGCTTTAGCGGCAGGGATCTTCTGGCTTTCACTTGGAACAGTGCTCTTGTCTCCTGGAAAACAAATATATCACTCCTTGGAACAAATCAGAAATGCAGTCCATACCTTCGAATCCATGTGCAGCCCATTTGATGGCAGCCTGAAGATATTCCTCCAAATTTAAATCATTGTCAGGCACTGCCGCCCATGATTTGGATTTCGAATGGATTTTGATGCTGTTCAATAAGATTTAGCATCATCAAGACAGCTATCAGAGAGACTCACTTGACACCGCAAACTTTGCCATCAGCGTCCTCATACATACAATGGGCTATCCATGCGACCTTCCCCAGTTGACTGGCACCAAATCCAATCATATGCTCCAGCAAAGATGTCGTGGCTTGGTCGATCATGCGTTGGTTCCTGAAAAGTGAGCATAAGTACCCGAAAAGCAGCAGAGTGAATGACTCACTGATAAATGTCACTGAGACTGAGAGGCTTAGCCACATGTGCATTGGCTTCATCTGCCATAGCTTGATACTCCTTCACAGCCTCAGCATCAAGTGCAACCCACATCGCTGTAGACACCTCACAATACAAATCCAGGCTGTCCGGGACATTGCCATCGTTGGAACATTTCGCCATCTCAGTTTTGATCTCCTTTGCCTTCACTTTTCGGAACTGTTCCTTTGCATTTGTCTGACAGACTGGAGGTGGTTGGGTACGTGGGTCGAATTGAGCCTTCTCGCTGTAGGCCTTGTGGTGATTAGCAAGGTACTTTCTCACTTTCTGTAGAATTCGTCAATGACGCCTGCTAGCAATAATGTCATGGGACACTTACCAACAGGACCGACGCAGTTTTGGGTTCATCATCCAGAGACCAGAACTTCTTAAGGAAGTCATTGAGAACATGGTCCTTGACATAGTCAACACCAGGTCCTCGTACTCTTTTACCTCCAGATGACTGTGCCTGCGCCTCTGTGACAGCTTGGGCATAGCCCAATATAGCATTCTCATTGAGCCAGGTTGTGTGCTCCTTTGTGAGCATAGGACAGTTGGGGCAAACTGCATGAAGCACAGGAGTTCCGGTCTTTGTTGGAGAGGTCTCTGGCATGGTGATTGTGGTGGGAACACAAGTCTGTGGTGGTGGTAATGATGGCGGTAGTGGTGAGGAAATGGTAAGCTGCATGGTGGCATGAAAAGTCAGTTTTTTGTCCTGAAAACCAAAATAGACGCCAACTTTTCATATCTTTGCTGGGACAATGCCATTTACTATTTCCAACCCAATGTTGCGATCTATTGTTCGTCAACAAGATCCTAGACAAACAGAACTCGAACAATACACAACCAAAATGTATCATGAAATACATACAAAACATAACAAAGTATGGCTCAATTTCGAAAAATCAGGCAGTAAAAAGCCTACTCTAACAGCAGGGAACAAATATGGTAAAAAAAATCACTTCAACAAGGAAAAAATAATTCCTTCGAGCGCAGCTGTTTGCCAGTTCTTCCAAAATCCAGGGTCTCCCGTCCCAACCTTTTTCATGAACAGAGGACTCCCCTCAACACCCTGGAGGGGTTTGCACCAGCGAACCTTGGTCCATCCATCCTCAGAAGCAAACCCAAACACTTCAAATTCCTCCACCATCTCAACCCCGGCTAAGCCTAGGGCCATTTTGTGATCCTTAAGATAGAGAGTGCCATTGTTTCGAGTTGGGACATCAATGCGAATGGGGTTCTCATCGAGCTGGCCGCAAGCAGTCAGAAAATGTCAATTGAGTCAAAGAAATCTGTGTGACACACCTTTTTAAAGAAGAGAATGGCAACTTTTCCACGTAGTTCAGCCAACGGTCTGTTTGTGTTGGTGTGAACAACCCAATTGACTTCTCGCATAGCTGGCATTGAAGTCCTACCATGACGAGCAGAATGTCGCTGGGGCTGCTTTGTGTCCATTTCATTGTCGGATATCTCAATTACTGTTGCAGCAACAGGCAGCAAAGTCCTTCCTCTGTGAGTGATGCTACCGTCAAGCCTGGCCCCTCCAGAGTGATCATTTAAATTGATCACCTCTCCATTTCGGGAAGCAGGATGATGTACGAGACGTGGTCCAACTGGCTGACGAACATGAACTGGCAGGGCCAGATGTGGCGGATGGGTGGGTGATGACGGTGGATCTGAAGCGACCCTGCGACAACGATGATGAGGTGGCTTGAGTGGTAATATAGAAAGGGCAGAGCCGGGACCGATGAAATGACCGTTGTCCACTGTCTGACAGAGAGGGAGGATCATTTGCACAGCGGGCATGGCTTTGAGCTCCTCCTCTGTGAATCCCGAGATAACAGCATGATGTGAATGACAGGAATTACACTGATTTAATCATTAATGTCAAATTGAATTGAGGGCAAATAGAGGATGTACTCGAACCGTTTGGCTGCCCAAATCCTGAAACTCCAAGTCATCGCTTGAGTACACCTTCATCCCAGCTCCCACATTTGTCACCAGCATCATGTAGCCTGAACAATTGGCACATTTGCGAGGAATTTTGCGTGTTGGATAGGGACCATACTTTCGCTTGTTCGCAATGATGAGTTCACCCTCCAAGATGGAGTTGAGATGACCTTGGTCCTTCACGCGTTTTCTTGAGGGAACCAGCTCCCTATAATTGCCAGGAGGGTACTCTTCTCGCAGTTGATAACATGGTCCGTTCTTCAGCTTCGGAACTGGCAGCGAACACAGCATGACGACTGATTGGAGCGGGGAAAAATTAGCAAGGAAGAGAGTGAAACGACCTGGGTTTATTTAAATACTTACAGAACAATGATGATGCCAACATGGACAAAGACATCCAATGCCACCTCTCACTGACCAATATGGGACGAGAGCGGGGAAACTGGTTGCGAAGCTACATCGATGCAAGGTCAAATGCAGGAGAACGACCCTTTCTGATCAGTTCTGTGTTCCTTCGTTCTTGCCAATTTCAGGAAGAGTGAAAACATAAGAGTAGATGCACCGACGAAATGTCAAGTGCGAGATGACGACCCATTCAGGTCAGCAACTGGGACAGAGTAGTGGATAAAATGTGAATGTGGTGAAGAAGCAACAAGGCAATTTTCTGGGTCCTTCCGCATCAGGATAGACCACACACAAGTCTCATGACCTGGACACGTGACACATATTTCTTCAATTCATGAGCAGTACATGCGATAACATACTAAACACAAAAACTCAAGATAGAAGTATATACTATACAAGACAACACCAAATCCTGTACCCCAAATAAATGCCAGATATTATGTCTCCCATTCTGAAATGTCCTTGTAGAGTCCTTGTCGTAACATTGACACGTGCTCACGCACTTCCGGAACATATGAAGGATCGGGGTCATGCTCAAGTTGTCGGGGCAGAGTTGGCACACGACCAAAGTATAAAAAAAAAGTGTCTGTGTAATGTCCCACTACCTGCTTCTCAAGTTCCAAATATGCCGCCTCCATGTATCCATCAAGGTTAGAAGACACGAGGAATTTAGGCTGGTCTCCTTTCCAGCTTTGCATGACCTTGCGCAGGGAAAAAAGATATGGTGCTCGCTCCAGCCAAGACATGTGAGCCAGACCTAAATTCGCACTGCCCAAGTTTACACAAACAGGATGAGTTTGTCCATGGGGAAAGCATCACCCGATATCAGCCTTGCGAGCTTCCTCGTTGACGTTAGCCACAGAGGCATGCTGGTCAAGAGCATGAACTTCCAGACGAAAGCCCATCTCCGAGATTTCCCAAAGGATCTCCTTTTTGTCATTTGCAGTAAGTGTTCCAAACTCCTTCCCTCGCCAATAGCCCTGCAAATCGCTGATGTTAATGCTTCCGTCAAATTCACCACAGCACGCTTGTCGACATTTTCGATGCTTGTGAATAGATCCACTCGGGGAAAGGAGAGACCGTTAATTCTGACAACGTTGGCAGATGAATGGCAACGACTCTTATCAGCATCAATCTGGAATAAGGCATCTCGCCATACGGGAACCATCGGAGGGAGATCTGCATGCCTAGGATCTGTCAAACCTGACACATTGTAGCGGGATTGTGGGACTTTGTTGCATCCACTCCTGCTTCGATTGTGATCTGCAAAGTAATCAGTTGAGACTTGGTTACTCAGCAACTATGAAATCTCACATGGAGAAAACCGGACATCCTCTCGAGTCGACACTGCTAGCGGTGCATTGGGTCGTGTCAGGATTACCGGACTTGGCAGACGGAACGGGTTCGCCCAGCCCAAATGATCCCTTGTAAAGAGGTTCATCGCTGTATACTTGGCCTTGTTCGGGGCTCCATTATACACGGATCGCAGTTTAAGTCGAGGCTGATTCAAGACTAGCCAGCTGTCGGGAGTCTCGATGTCGGTAAGAACATCGATGCGATACACTGCCGCCTCCTCCAGTGGCTGCATCGTCCAAACCAGTATCCTAGCACAGAAAAAGTGTTGCAGCATCATTGCATCCTCCACAAAAGCGCCCATTATCATTGGATCATGGACCTTGGGGTCCCTCTCAACTAACCCATCCATCCTCGGCTTGTAAATCTGGATGTAGTCAACTAATGCACATAAAAGACATGTCACTCTTTGAGTCTCTGCAACTGTGAGGCATACCCGCTCAAAGTTCATGGGCAGGGCATCCAAACGCGCAAGAAAAAGATCAATCATATTGCAGTCGAGTCTGATTTGAAGCCTGAGGGAATCCGGCCTGTCGATGCGGCGTGCAGCCCTCATGATGTCAATGCATGCAGCTTTGAGTTTCTCCAAGTATACGCCTGCTAGTTTGCCAATGTTCGGTACGATGGAACACTCAGCGCAAGGGGAAAAAATGGAGTGATTGACAGGAGCGAAAAGTGGGTAGAAAAGGTCAGAAGGGCTGCTGTTCCATGGTGGAGTGCGTATGCATGCAAAATGAGGATATTCGGGACAATAAAGTTGTGGCCAGGAGAGAGGATCATCCTTGCCGTACTTGTAGTCGCGTCGCATGTAAACTTCTCTGTTCAGCCCCAATGGTGGCTCCCATAGCATTCCGCAATTCGGTGACATGAGGAAGAAATTGCTATTTGGTAGGACAGCGCCACGGAAACCATTGTTGAACTGTCGTGCTTGAAATGCTAAGTCTCGCCGACCTCCAGGATGGATTAAAAACCTACGTTTGTCGGGTGCACTCTTGTGAAGTAAAAGCTTCGGATTCTTGCGTATGTTTTCAGGTGTAAGTTCTTCTGCCCAGACCATTGTATAGACCTGACATGGAGAAGGAAAGTGTGAGATGCTCAGAATAAGAGAAATACACTGCCGACGGAATGTCAAGCAGTAAGGCCAACCTCTTCAGGTCAAGCTAAAGAAAGAGAGCAACAGACAAAGAAATCATGAAACTCACTGACCACTTGGCTGATTTGGACTGATTGATAGATAGAAATGAGAACGCAAGCGAGCGGAGAGGAAGTGAAACGACGAGTACAAGCTACGCGGATGCTATAAGAATACCATACGGACTTTGAATTAGAAGGAAGGCTTGGGCATGTGCATGGAGCCGGTGTGCCGATTTGTAAGCCCAATTGGAAATTCCTTCCAGCTGCATCGTCCCTCCTATTGTGGCGTGCTTTCGTCGCATCCTCACCTCAACGATCTCATCCACTATCCATGAATAATTAACAACAACTATTTACGACGAGTATATCTTTCATCGCTAGCAACGCGCAACAACAAGCTCTATCAGCAGAGGGACACGAGCACTTCACCATGACGGGAAACTCGACAAGTGGACATGAGAAGACGGCGGAGCCGTGAGAAGACTGGTAGGTCCTCTCCCTCCTCGCCCATATTCGGTGCTCAGCCTTCTCACAGCTCCTACTATGAACATGACGGCCGTCCTTTCAACCTCGAAGACGAGCACATTATGGCATGCCCTCACCCCAATGACCATCCATCCACTATCTGCTGACCTGCATGGGTCGCTTACATGCACTTGATCTTGCGTCAGTATGCTTTCTCAATGGGGTGTGAGCAGAGAGGCGGCGGAGTGAGCTGAGGAAATGTAATGCATCTCTTCCTTCCTCACTTGTGTTCAGGCTCTTAACTTCTGCAAAAGCAATTCTTTTTCGCTGATTACTGTGGTGTCGACTCCTGGTAATGACGTATGTGGCGACGAGCAAGCTCTCCAAGCAATCCCTAGGGATGTGACATTGGGAAGAAGACGTGAACGGAGGAAAGCGGGAGGTCCACAGACGTCTTGGGAGTGGTAAGTCTCTCACATTCATCTTCCTTCCCAGGCATTCACCCCTTCTTAGCCGGCCGATCTCGTTCCATTCTGCCCACGCATGTCCAGCCCTCGAGTCGACGTCAGTGTGCATGGTTCCCTGGACTGGGGGAAACCTGTTTTTGCTCCGGGATGACGGTACGAAGCTTGAAGCTTGAAGGGTGGAGGAGCGATTGAAGGAGACGGCAGTGATGGAGAATGGTAGAGACGGCAGCAGATGAATGGGGATGGTATGTTGCCCTGTTTCTCAAAAATAAACCAAACCCTAACCCCCTTTTTAGCCTGATCCCGCTCTCGTCTCTTGCATGAGACTCCATTCATTGGATGAACCTCCTTGAAATTGTCGAGATCAAGCAAAAGACCAGATTTTGGATCTACAGTTGACCTGAATAGATCGCCGTACAGCGCTTGACCTTGCGTTGGTGCTTGTGAGTCCTTCTCAGCCACGTGTTTGTGTCTGAATTCCAGGGAAACAAGCGCCCGAGGTACATGATTTCTAAGTGCAGCAGGTCATGTGGCTGACACGACGGACGTGGAGTTTTGGCTGCCGTACGATGGAGATGTTATCAATTGTCCTTTTGTCATTTCTTATTGTGTTGCTACTGGGTATTTCTTTGTTTCCTGAGGTACGGTGGCACTTTGCTGACTATTTAAGCAGCTGTCGACTAGACTCCTCGCAATCTCCCTCTCTACGTCTAACTTCAAAGTTCTGCTGCTGTAGCCATGCCCATCGGCCCTCTCCATCCCAATGTCACACCCAATCTTGCCGGATATAGCAATATCTCGCCATTTCAGCAGCTCTCGGCCATGTTCGTGCATGTCAACGAACTTCTCGACCTACGACTCCAGTCCCTCAACGATGAGCTTCATCCGGATCATCACCTTTCCGGTTTCTGCTACTGCCGGGGGCGGTTGTCCCTCATCACGGAGCTAGGAATTGAAATGGGTAGTCTTTCGCGTGACCAGCATGTACTTGAATATTTGGGAACGCAGCAGCTTAAGGTATGCGGTTCTTATGTATAACTAGCCCAGATTGCTCAGGTCACTGTAGTGCAATCAGTGTGGAATTACAACAGATGTGCGACTGTCAGGCTTTAGCTCGGAAAATCTCTTGGAGGACCCGATTGTGCTCTGTTACTTGCGGGTTTGCAGGCTCATAGTCGAACGTATGGTCAACTTAGATTGAATATTACGACAACCTTTATGACCGGACATTTATTCTCTTTTTTTTTTTTTTTTTTTGATATTTACATCTTGTTTACTTCTACACCATTGAAAACACCCAGATTGTAATCATATCTTGGTGTCCCTCCCCTGAAAATCATGTACCTGTTCATCTTCCAAAAATGTTTACCCCTTCTGATTATGCAGCATCCTCGTGTGGGCTTGTGGTAGTTCATGACCATTGTTCGGGAGTGGGAATGCCACCCGCCACCAACAAAGTAGCTACAGTGAGGTGAGCCCCAGTCACTTTTCATCCGGTTATCTCTCATCTTCATTCTCCACCTGTAGCTGCTACTTTGATGCATCAAACACTGTTAGTTGACAGTTAATTGTGATACATCAAGAGTGTCAGTTTACATCCAGCCCATATACAGTAATTCCATCAGGATGACAAAGTGGCTTAGTAAGCTTCCCAATCTGTGTCAATGATGGCATCATTAGAAAAGAGGGCAATTCCAGGAATTGAACCCAGGACCTCAAAAATAAATCCAATAATGTCACATGACTTTCTCGAGCAGGCATATTAACCACTACACCATACTAGCATTATATATATATCTTTTTATCTCTATATATACCCTCCCTCCCTTAACATTTATGACCTCATATTGATGCCCTTCCTTTGCTCCGCTCTGGTGCGCTCTTTTGCCTTTTTAGGCTCCCCAAATCAGCCCATCAATTTTGGCTGGATCCAGTGGCAGTGCCGCATTTTTAATACCCAAAATAGGGGCTATTTTCCGGTCAAAATAGCTATTGGGCTATTCTCAGGCTACTGGCTGGGCCAGGGGATGGTACTATAATCTGTATAGACATAAACAACATAAAATAGAGCCCTCTAATGATACATAGGAGCCCTGGATAGTGGGATAAAAGGGTAATATAATGAAAATCGCATAAATATTCGCTTTTGGGGGCTGCTGCATGCAATGGATCGGCTGGAGGACTTCACCAATCGATTCCCTGACCTTGAAAACACCCAAACGACCCCTCCACAGTACTTTTGGCACACTTTATTCCTGGAGATAAACGAAAATATTCGCTTTTTAGGGTGCAGCATGCTCCAGATCGCTTTGAAAACATTACCAGTCAATTCCTATGCTATAAAAACCCTAGAATACATCCTCCTTCGTAATATAGGTCCAGTATAATACAGTATAAAAGGGGGTATTAGGGGGTATACATCGCTTATTTTGTTTTTCGCACTTCGGATGGCCTGGGGAGCATCACCAATGGATTCCCTGATATTAAAAACCCCAAAACGACTGCAGCCTTCATTTATATGGTCTCAAAAATGACAGAAATAATGATATTACAGTTTAGGAGGAGCACATGTAATAAATCCTATTTCTGGGCTTCGGACAACTTCGGAGTTTTGTCTATTGTGTTTATTGACCTGAATAACACTCAAATGACCCCACAGGACAAAGGAAACCATCAGAAATACGTGATAAAAAGAGTAATAGGGGGATGGAGGAGACATACCTTATATTTGGCATTTCTAATAGTTAGGGAGGGTATTATTGTTATAGAACAGACTGTATATATTGTACAATGGTGTGTACGAAGCCCCATGGATATCCAAAATGTATTGAATGAGATATGAGCAGATCATTCTGTAAAACAGGAGGAGCACATCCCATATTTTGATGTTCTGCTCATCCCAGACTGCGACTTGACTGAACGCGGCCTCACCAGTTACTCGTCAATTTTCTTGGCAATGCGTGTGAAACTACCAAACTTCGAAAAGCTTGCCAAGCGCAAGCCAGCTTCAATTGTTGGTGCACAGACGACCCTTATATCCACTGATGCGATATTTGTGGATGAGGCTGTCCACGATGACAGCTGTCCACATCTACCTGTGTCAGAATCTCCTGAAGAGACCTCGTTGTCTTGAAAGACACAACCTCAGGTAAGAATCCACTTTATCCGGTCTGTTTACTTCCTGCTAAGGTGGCTTTCGCAGGGCGCAAGTGAGAAGATGAAGGCGTTTTTGCCACTTTTCCTGTTCTTTCAATCAACGTACATCGCCGACAATTATGATGGACATGTGAATGCTCTCTGCGATTGTGAATCAGGCGCTATATCCGAATATCGATGCAAGAGTTGTTATCTCTGAGCCCCCTGTTGCGGAGAATGCATAAAGGTTATCCACTGTCATCTACCTTTCCACCGGATAGAAAAATGGAACGGACGATATTTCGAGAAGGTGAGTCTTCAGCAGCTTGGGTTCATGTTTGCTCTTGGCCATGGCGGAGACCGCTGTCCAAACCAGCTAGAGACAGCCTTTCGCAAAGTCATCGTCGTCGATGTCAATGGCTATCATGATGTCAACTTCCAGTTTTGTTTCTGTTGGGATGGAGAACTCGATGAGGCCAAACAGCTCTTTCTCCATCGGCTATTTCCTGCCACCGTCAAATGCCCAGAAACAGTGTTCACTAGCGAGGTCCTGGACAACTTCGACATCCATCATTGCACATCAATGAAGTCAGCTGAATCTTTCTGTGCTGCTCTGCGAAAAATGTCTGCCGCAGAGCTGCCAGATGATGTGTCGGTGGGTCTGGTCTCTTAAGTTCCAGCGGTATTCCTGATATCTCATAACATTTTTAGGATTCATACCGCACTTTTATGCAAGCCTCGCACATTCACCGACACTTGCAAGCTGTTCGGCGGAGCGGACAAGTGCATAATATTGACAACTTCATTACACACCGATGGAAGAACTGCATCACCGTACACTGCCCCGCATGTCCAGAGCCTGAGTGGAACATCAATTTGGAGGTATTAACAAATGCTCCTGAGAGCGAAAAGTGAGTATGCAGTTTGTAAATGAGTCTCCTTGCCTGATAATTGTACGGACACAAGTACACGTTGTTTCTTGACTGTGATGGTACCTTCAATGTTCCACGAATCAACAAGCCGGATGACCCCAATGAGGAGTCCTTGAATGCTGGTCATGCTTTTGTTGTTGAGGAGCATGAATACCAGCGATATCTTTCCCGTGTTGAAAATGATCCCCCAGAGGTGAGTGCTGGACTTTGAGGTCGTGTTCATGCTAGTTAATACGTTGTGCAGAAATGTGACTGTGCGAAGCTCCGGGCATTGAAATTTGACCACTTACTCAAGTTTGTGAACCTTGTGGTCACCGGGATCGTCGGGTTCCAGTGCGTACGCCATGTCATGTTCAAGCCTGATGCGACAGTAGATATGTATGTGGGAGAGAGGTAAGAATGCCACTAATGTGGATTTATTTATGCTCACAGCTGTATCAGGTTGTACTATGCAGATCGCGGTCTTGTCAGTGCGTTGAAGGATCAAACAAAACAACGGTGGATTCGGCTTAGTTACGACCTGGTCTGCCAGTATCTGCCAAATCTCTTGACAAGAATTACTAAGGAACGCTTTCCCAACCTAACCGATGAAGAACTGGTCAAGATTGCCAGGATCGAGGGAAACATTGGCCAGCTGCACATCGTTGCCCATATCCTGCACTGCTTGGCGCTTTACTGCTTCAATCATACCCCGGGTGTTGCTCGCAGTTGCGGGGACGTCTTGGAGTCGGCTTGGGATAGGACCAAGCATGCTGGCAGAAGCTTGAAACAGATGAATCATGGTCTCCGCCATGATATGCTGGACTTCATCCTCAATGACTGGAACTGGAGTAAAGTTGTTCGTCTCGGTAAGTTGATCTCCAGGAATATGAGTCTTACATCACTAACATTGGCTGTGCAGCGAAACATCTGAAATGGAAATACATTGAAGCAGTCTGGAAGCAAGAGAATCTTCGGATTAGTTTCACAGCGTTGACTGCCACACATCCGCCACAGCTCATTGTGAAATAGGAGGCAGAGTATCAAATGCCCATGCCCACCCACGACACGAAGCCTCTTGTTGACCGTTTCCAGTGTAATTTCAACAATATTGGTATGTCATCACATAGTCTTGTGTGTGCTCAGCTTATCGTATTTCAGCCTGTCCTACAATGCAAAGCATGGTAACAGATCTCCTTGAGAAGGAAAAAACAGCGATCCTGAGTGATTTGCCCATTCCTGGAATGAGTGAAGGTGTTACGCAAGTCATCATGGAGGGAGTTCATTTGGACCATGAACAGTAAGTACAAATTTTTCATAACCTGATCCGATTTGACCATAATATGCAGGCTGCGAATAGAGCTCCTGGAGAAGAGGGAGCCAGACCCCAAATATCGAACTGCCACTGACAATAACCGTTTACGCTTGAGCTGAGCAGCCCTCTATGATGACACTGTTGAATGGCTGCAGGTTTTCATGAAGTTCTTTCCTGCAGCCCATGCTTCAGTTGGGCAAGTGGATATCAAAACGCCTGAGAAAGCACGTCTTCCTCTTCCTAGTTGACTCCCGTGAAAGATGTGCATCCAATATGGACTGGAGAGTCTCATTTCTGTTGAGTACTCGCTGAGAGTGGGGCAGGCTCATGATATTCTGGCTGAGATCCAGGAGCTTATCATTGGACAAAGCTATAACACACATATCGTTCGAACGGAATTTCATGGTCAAAGGATGTGTATGCATGCACATGAGTTTGTCAGCTGCTTTCAGCTTGACAAAGTTGATTGCATGCACAGGTACAACTTTGTCCGGAAGCGCCTGATTACTCTGGGAATGTCCCCAACAGATGTTGATCTTCGGGAGCTCACTGCAGTACATATCACAGCCAAGAATGCTGCCCAGAGCCATGGATTGGGTGACACCATGAAGCCGGATTCCTGGTTATGGGGAGCATTAAAGCCCAAGGGCCTGGCAGAGTCTGCTGAGGATGAATGGATCACTGAGAGTATGTTAGTCTTATGTCTTTTCTTCCAATTTGGCTAACATGTATGTTGTTGTAGTCAGGCGGGTGAAATGGATGTGGGAGCATGCAGATCTGGACCGTTGGACTGAAGAAGTAGAGCTGTTGGAGGAGGAACAGTGGAGGGTTGAGGTCTCGCATTGCAAAACAGCCGAAAATTGGACACAGATTGCAAAGGCGAGTGACATAAAAACTGGCGCAGCTGCGTATGCATACAAGGTGGCCGACGTCCACACGAAGCTGGCAGCTCATTGTGTTATGGAGTGGGAGAAGGCTGTGAAAAAGGTCACAGAAAATCGGGAGGAAGACCGTCGCACAAGAGAGAGGGAGGATGAACTCGCATGGGAGGAAGAGGAGAAGATATGATGCGAAGATGAGGACACCATGTACAGCAATCCAGATGACGGTGAAGAAGACCAGCTTAATATGAACGAGACTCAGAATGTTGATGAAGACACTTTAAGCAATGGCAGGAACGCTGGTGCAGATGCTATTTATGCATCTTCACCTCGGAAATGTAAGAGGGTGTTATCCAGAGGCTTGCTGTCACATCATGGCAATGCTCGGGGTGGAGGCACAAGTCGTGCTCGTGGTTGCCGGAAAAGGAGGGGAGGGGCTTGACTAGGCTAGGTTGAGATGTGATGTGATGTGTTAGGCTTGGCTAGGCTAGGTTGGTAAGAGCTTGATAACTGGTAGGATTGCGATGATTTAGGCTAGGCTGGGTTAGGCCTAGCTAGGATTGTGTTCATCTGTTAGGCTAGGCTAGATTAGACTAGATATATTTAGCTAGGTAATTGTGTAGGGCTACGAAGCAGATAGGCTAGACTAGGCTAATCATGATGTGCAAGATATTATATTTGGTGGTAGGCTAAAGGTGCAGGAGAAGCCTATCCTAGCCTAAGCAATTTATAGGCTAAGGCTTAGAATACTAAATGCGGGCCCTGACACTTGTGCATACTCCTGGGGTCCAAAAAAAAGGATTCGGGCTGGAGAAATGACTCTGTGTGAAAGTGTCTATGGCCTGGTATTTCAGCTCATCAGATGTGGCCCCAACATATACCTCGTGCAGGTGGAGGGGGCAAGGGCGAAGATTGACGTGCTCCTCACACAGGAACACATCAACTACCTGATTGATTTGTGTAAATGGAATCACTGACACAGATCATAGCAACCAAACTGGAATTCCCACTTTGTGGAATTCCTGAGCAGTGAGGGTACTGGTAGTGAAAGTGCTGATGAGGTCAGAATGCACTTTCCAAATTGTCGGAGAGGGAGAGGATATGTGCGGCATGAAGATCATATAGTAATCCATGTATGCTTGCAATTCGAGAGCAACCCATTGTGTCTCTGCCACACAGAGACACAGTCACTCAAACGTGAGAGGGAGAGACTGTAAGTGCTGCAAGAACATTTGCAGAAGGCCACATAGATGCTTGACATCCTCATCTTCTTTCACTTGACATGTCAGCGATCTTTGTATGACAAGCTCACATGCTTGCTGAAATGCTTGGTACTGTGTCCTGTGCCAGAGAACAGGACCTCGGATCATGCATGAAACGTCGCATTCCTTGAAATCGCCGTGATGTGGTAGGGAGTACAGTGGTTGTTGAGACGCATCATGGGAGTCTGCCAGAGCTTTTCAAATACAGGCAAGGTGGGGGCAATGAGTGATATATGGTTGAGGCCAGCAGCATGGGTCATTGTCACCATAGCAATAGTCTTTGTGCATCACCACAACCTGTTTCGCACCCAAAGGTGAGGCCCAAATCTGTGGTGCATTCAGTGTTGTGATGAGGAGATCTTCAAGTTCATGGTAAATGGCACCACAGAGGCCATCCCAAGCTTGCAAAGCTGTATCGCTTGATAAATATATATGTCTGAGCTCCCAGGATCTAATTGTACCCACCATCGCCTGGCAAGCTTTTGTGCAATAGCTGCTCGCATTGGGATTTAAGTGTGTTGAAATCATCAGTTTCCTTGGCCATGAGATAGGTGTGCCTAGTGTGCTAGATTTAGAAGACAAGCATCCAACAGACAATGCTGATACATGTTAGACATCTCCACTTGACTATAATTCAAACTCCGTGAGACTCTCCCATAGCCCTGGGTTGCTGTCTGTCCATACTGCTGGTTGGCCTCCAAGTCAGACATGCTTTTCCAGAATGCCGAAATGCCTGCTCAATGGCCAGTCCCTTATGATGTGTTCACTGACATCGATAATCACCATTTTCTTGAGCATTCATGGCTCTCTTGTACTACAGGCTTTTTGCTATTGTATTTACATCCAGGAACCGTAAAATTGTTAGTAAGTCTTGGTTTGAATATCTAGAATGAGTTTCCTAAGTTCTGGATGACCACTATTGAGCTGGGACCCTTACCTCGCTCAGGTGGGTTAACCACCATTGCTCTGTGCCATTACATTTCCATTGCCATTGAGCTCTCCTCCAGTCCTGGCCCCCTGTTCATTTCAGCATTGAAAGTGTTCGACAAACTGTTGTCAGATGTGACCATGTCGCCTCTGACCTTGGGACCCAACAGCCACCAGTGGTGCCATTGGGACGACCAATTGCTGTGGTCGACATCGAGAGCATCTGGCAAGCCGCTGGCAGTGCTCTCAACCAGGTAGTTGTGAATGGGAACAGCGAGGACTTTCTTATTGCAATTCATGCATGTCAATTTGGGACTGGTCTGTCCCTCTTCAGGCTCAGCGCCTTCCAAGAAACGGGTGGTCAATGTGTGAAACCATTCCTTCAGGCAGGGGGTGTGGAAGGTGTGACCACACGAGAGTCTGTGGGGACCCAATCGCATTCAAGATATAAACCTCTAAGAGAGGTAATGGGATATCACTCACAGGGAAGCATCTGTGATTGGCAAGGTACACATAGAGCAAAGAAGGTGCTCTAAAGCATGGTTTCATTTCTGTGAGAGGGTGTGAGATCCTTGTCGCCAAGCAAAACCCAACCTTACAACTCTTTGAATGCTTCGAGCCGTCAAGTTCTGCTTGCGTACAGCGCTGGGAAGTAAACTTTCCTGTTGTAGTGCTTCGATCTCCTCCTTGAGGTCATCGATCTCTGCTTGACCTCTGAGGTACATCTGGTCCCAGGCTGCCAGTGAGTGTTCGTTATCGTCACGTGGAAAGGAACTTACAGTGCATTGGAGGGCTTGCCAGGTCAAAGCATCATCCCGCACTACAAGGAGGCATCTATGAGTGCATTCAAGATCCCCAAGTGCAACAGCCCGCTGGTGCTCTGCATAGATCACGTTCTGTGAAGACGCTTCACAACAAGCCTTTGTCCTGTTCACCAATGACCTACCTGTTGCATTTGCTCTACCTCGTTGGCTATGAGGCGCAGAGTGATTGAAGAATGCATTTGTATGTCGTTGTGGCTAGCAGAGCCTTCACTAGGTGTTGGGTCATTGTATTCATTATCCATAGTTGCGCATGAGGTGGGGGCAAGAGCTAAGCTGGTGGGGGCAAGAGTTCACATGAAAAAAAGCACGCAAAAGAGCCTGAAGAAGAAAAGCCACAGAAGTACTTCCTTTCTATAAGAAGCCAGGGCAGAATGTTTGTCTATGTTGGTTACCTTCACACTGTCACCAGTCTCCTAGTCTGTCAAGTCCCTCAATAATTGTACATTAGGCGTGACACATCATTTATGATTTAAAACGCTACATTTGCGGAACCTGCATTCTGGGTACATAAAAGGTAGTCACATAGATTGAGTGCTTCCACCCACACCAAACGACGAATGTCCATAAACTGTGACTGCAAGTCTACACACTCGGAGAGTGCTCTCTGTAGAATCAGTATGCTCTCCTTGTTGAGGGGCAATTTGGGGGCCACACATGGCACATGAGTGAGGGTCAGAGGGCCCGAGCTGAAGGGGTTTGTTGCATCCCATTCTTGAGGGTTATGGAGTAGATGGTGCTCCATGTATTGTCAGTCCTGTGTGATGACCCAATCGATGCCATACTCTGCTGGGTCCTCCACATCTTCCTCCATGGGTACCGTGAACAGTTCTGATAGCCCTCAAGGGCTGTCATGGATCATGCTAGAGTGAAACATTTCCTGCAGCATGCAGGGTCGACCTTGCAGCAGCATCATGTGATGACTGTTCTGTTGGATAATTGGTTCATCCCAATGCAAGATCCGGACTTAGTATTAATCAGCTAGCAAGTGCCTGACACTTCGAGCACTATCTTTCTTACTCAGATGGTGCATCATACACCCGCTATTATTACTAGAACTTTCTTTGCACTTAGGTATAAATATGAGACATACTCTGTAGTAGCAGAGCCAATCCACTCTACTCTTATTACTCTACCACTTCTATAATACCACAGGTTATTGGGTCCTGCACTCAACTACGCTACAAACACCAAATCACTGTCCCATTCCTTAGTCCCACCACATAATGACTAACACTATGTCTGGTCCCAGTACCAACCCTGGCAATGCTGCCACCACTACACCCACAAATCCCACCTTGAATACAAATTTGACAACCTCTACCAACCCCACCTTGACATCCACCAGTACGGCATTCTCTATGCTGAGCTATGCCCATCTCCCATCTTCTTCTTCTGTCCAATGAGTTGATTATTTTGCACATGTCCCAAAGCTTGATGCCAAGGGAAAGAATTGGTCTATTTTCCAAGAGCACTGGAAGATCGCAGTCCAAGGTGCTGGGCTTGGCCATCACTTTGACCATACATATGTAGTCACAGTACCTAGCCCAGGAGAAACAGATCAGACCATTCTTATGGAATATGTGAAATGGCAGCAAGAATTGCAGGCATGATCTCACCTGACAGGTACACTTGTGGATAGCACTCTTTGAAAAGCCATTCAGGGTGCACCCAGTGTCAATCAGATCTGGGAACGACTAGAGGAGGAATTTCAGCACAAATCAAAAGTGATGAAGGCAAACTTATGGGCTGACTTCATGGCTATGCACTGTGGAGAGCATGCAAATGTGCATGAATTCTTGGACAAACTCATGAAAACATATGATGACCTATTAAGCATGGGTATCAGTGTATCAGATGATGATTACGAGTCAACAGTACTCAAATCCGTACCTCGAGAGTATCAAATCTTCATCTCCACTGTCCAGGAATCATCACAACGTGCACATATCACACTATCAGTTGATGACATCATTGACTCTCTGCAACATGAGTATGACTTTTGGAGTCATGACATGCAGCATACCAAATCCAAGGCCAAGAAAGGAAGGGACAACACAGAGAATATTGCTGCAACTGTGCAGAATTCTCATGGCAATGGGAAGGGCAGATCTGGAGGGCAGAAAAATCAGGGAAAATCCTCGCAATCAAAGGAAGATCGCACCTGTTTTAACTGTGGAGGAAAAGGCCATATTTGGAGGAATTGTCCCAGTCTGAAGAACTTGAATGCAGGTCCCCAGCCGGATGGGAAGGATGGCGAGAAAAAAGGTGATGATGCTGCAAAGGATAAGCCCAAAGGAGGGCAGGCAGGAGGATCAGCAAATACGAGCATGGAATCAGAAGATACCTTTGGTGCAGGAGCCTGGTTGGCACACCCCTCAACAGACGACTCGGACAGCGATGGTTGGCTTTCTAAAATTGACAAGGACCCAATGATGGGTATTGGAGCATTCTCTGATATGTCTGATGATGATGAAGCACCATCAGACATGCTTGCCACCATTCAGAACATCAATCTTGATTCAGGACCGGTCAAAGAGAAAGACCTATCGAATGATGATATACCTGAACTGGAAAGTGTTAGCGACTCTTCAGAGGATGAAGAGAAACTCACTGATGATGAATTTAATGATTTGCCAGACCTTGAGGATGTTGGAGACCCATCTGATGATGAGGATAGCTCTGAGTCCAAGGTTTGTGCTGGCACCATTATTGCATCTGCTGAAGATGCAAATCTAGAAAAGAAGAATGAGTCAGAAATCGAATTATTTGACTCAGGCACTTCGTGACACATGTCACCTCACCGACATGCATTCATTAATTTTCATGACATCCACCCTTGGTCATTTGATGCAGCAAACAAGAAAAAATTCTTTGCTACAGGACAGGGAGATATGACTGTCAGTCTTCCACATGGTTCTGAATCAACAGAGATTTGACTCACCAGTGTTCTGTATGCTCCTGATCTCACATACACTCTTGTTTCCATTGGGCGTCTTGACAATGCAGGCTACACTGTGACTTTTGGGAATGGACAAGGTGTCATCCATGATAAAGATGACACTATAATCAGTGTCCTACCCAAAACAAAGGGCTTATACCGGTGAAGAGGCTCTGTGTGCGCCAAGCTCGAAATGCGATAGCATAGACACACTAAACACACCCACTCTCACACTCACACACACACAGAATCTCAGTAGTTCAGGGGAGATGTGCGATACAAGCACATAATAACAATAGACTTAAAAGATGTCTTGCGCTCTTCAAGATATAATAGCACGCTAGCTCAAAAGAATTCTCTAAGTCCAAATGCTTTTAGGACAGGAGGTGAGCGATATGTATCACTCGGCCTCGAGGCGAAAGTAATATTTCACAAGCCCACAAACGTCCCACAAGAACATACAACCCTCAATTGATGTTGCGCACAACACACAGGTGGCCACAACCCGTCAAACAAACTACACACAACTTAAAGCCTCACGCTCTAAGCAGAAAACACTTCAGAAACCTTTCGTAGATCCACAGGGTTCAAACCTATGCGATCCAGAGACACAGAAACACAGAAACACATCCACAAGCCACAGGGTTTGAGCCTATGCTACTTGGGAATAAACCAAAAACCCTCAAAGAGTATTGACAAGCCAAAGGGTTCGAACCTCTGCCACTTGCAACAACTCAGAATTCACAAACACGTTCCGCAAACACAAATGCACATTCAAGTTATCACAATACAATATTTCTCCGAGTTGAGTGCAATCAATTACTGTCCAGAATCAAGCTAGGCGTTGCGTGCGAGCAAGGCGTGCCTCGCAACCTCTCAAGCGTCTCAAAATAATTCTAGATCCAATAATATTCTCTCGCTCGAAGCTACAAACACAATTCCTTTGGTTGCACACTAGGCTCTCTGCTACGTGTCACAACTGCGGGGGTTCGAAAGCTCCCTACCTACTTCTAATTACCACGCTTTTATCTACAGCTAATTATATAAATAGAAATATCGAAAATAGATACGCTCCACCCCGGAGCCATTTCCTCTCCATGACACGTCAACCGCATGGTCACTAATTAATATCCTGAGTCAGTCATCCAAGTTAGTGCTCGATAACACACTGCTCTTTCTTCTTGGCAAGGTCTAGAGTTGCCACATCATGCAGAATATTTCTCCTAATTGGCTCCTTGTTTTTAATTCCTCTGTCACGCACATTGCTAGCGAGTTGGTATTTATATTTGGTTGCTGCACAACCTTTTCTTAGTTCAATATTTCATTCTGGGTACAGGGTTTCTCTTGTGTCGGCCGAAGCCCTCTCAGGAGGCTCGGACTGGGTGGTCCTCGGTTCTGAATGATGTCTCTCGGTGATTGCCCGATTGGCAGGGTTCACACGTCATAGATCAATGTTGCGTGAAGCTCCGTAAATATATTATCTTTTCAGTGTATTTTATTTGAGTGAGATGCTGCTGAGGGATGCACAGGGTGTGAGTCAGGGCACTGAGACTCCACACTTAAATGACACCAGTGTGCCGCTCTAAGTCTAAGCCATGTGCTCCACTCAGATTATTTTATTATATGCTGCTCCTGCCTCAACAGGTGTCGCTCCATGCCAGGTATGCACTCTAATATTACTTAGTGGATTGACACATGTTTGGATTCACAGGATTCGCAAAATTACACATATGAACACATTGCGCACATGTCACCAGTCTATACATGAGACATTGGTCTCATCATCAGGGGGAGAAGCTCATGCCATAAAAGAAAAGCTCACCTTCATGGACCTGCACCGCCATATGGGCCACATAGCACCAGAAGCAGCACGTTGTCTTGTCCTAAATGGTCTCATGGATGGTCTCAAACTTGAGGATGTCAAGGGAGAATCAATGTTTTGCAAATCTTGTGTGTTCACAAAAGTGAAGCAAAAATCTGTTCCAAAGGAAAGGGAAGGTCAACGGAAGAGAACTTATGGAGAAGAAGTTTATTCTGACCTTTGGGGACCCTCATCTATGGCAACTATTGGCAGCAAACAGTACTTCGTGTCATTTATGGATGACAGTACCCATGATACACATACATACCTTCTTTGATCAAAGGATGAAACCTTTCAAGCCTACAAGGGATATGAATCCTGGGTTAATACACAAATGCAGGTAGCCATCAAAACCTTACATTCTGACTGAGGAGGAGAATACCTGTCAGAAGAGTTTACTCAGTACCTCAAGTCTCAAGGAACTGAACAAAAGCTTACCGTGCATGATACACCCGAGGAGAATGGAGTCGCTGAGAGACTCAACTGTACACTGCTCGAAAAGGTTCATGCTATGCTACATGACAGCAGCCTGCCGAAGTTCCTGTGGGGAGAAGCCCTGTTGCATGCGGTTTGGTTGAAAAATCAGACATCTACAAAGGCATTAGCAGAGATCATGCTGCACGAGGCAGTTACAGGAAAGAAACCAAACCTTGCGAAGTCTGGGGCTGCCAGGTATGGGTACATGACAACCGACCATGGCACCACAAAAGCGGTGACAAGCTCGAGCTGAGAGCATACGTTGGCCGTTGGGTTGGCTTTGCAGATGAGAGCAAGGGCCATAAAATTTACTGAGAAGGAAAACGGTCAGTTACTGTTGAATGGAGTGTCTACTTTAATGAAACGTACCTCAAAAATGGCAGTAGGACTGAGGGGGAGAAAGAGGATATACATCCACCCAAAGTCAGTCCAATGCCTGAAGTCCCGACACACCCTACAACCCCTA